TATCGCGGCAGCCGAGATGATGGGGGTTCGCTTCCTTATTGTTCTTCAAAATAAAATGGATCTCGTCCAAAATTCAGACCTGGCAACAGCGCAGCAGGATCTAATTCGGCACTACCTGGACACGAAGACAAGCTACGTGGGCGCACCGATAATCCCTCTAAGCGCTCAGCTCGAGATCAACATCCCATACCTCCTGGAGTACCTCGTGCATGTGCCACTGCCCAAGCGTGTGATACGGATACCAGGGGCCCAGCTTCACGTGCTGCGAAGCTTTGATGTCTCGCTTCCCGGCGAAACCCTCGAGGCAGCGGCACTCTGCGGCGGGGTCGTCGGGGGGTCTATTAAACAGGGCGTGCTGTGCAAAGGGGACGTGGTGGAGTTCCTTCCGGGCCTTATTGCGGTGCCGAGACCGGGAATGCCAGTGCCATCTCGCGACGCGGTCCTGAGTGGGGAAGAAATTTCTTACCTTTCGGCACCGCCGCCAGGGATACCGTACTGCATTCCCATTCGTACAACCGTGCGCAGCCTCCAGGCGGAGGGCAATTCTCTTGAGTTTGCCATCCCTGGTGGCCTCATCGCCGTAGGAACCTCGCTGGACCCAGCCTTAACACGTCAGAATAAACTGTGCGGACAGGTTCTTCGTGTGGTGCAATCGCGTCTTTATGGTGACTGCAGCGATACGAGGGATGTTGAAGTATACCACGAGGTTGATATCCACTTTTACTTGCTGAAAGAACTGCTCGGCTTGGCAGCACAGGTACAGCACACGAGACGTGGAAGGAACTCCAAGGCCGCAATCCGTTCGAACACTATCCATAACCCACCGCAAGAAGCAACTGCGTTGACACGTATTCAACCTCTTCGTGAGGGAGAAACGATCCTTTTCAGCATCGGGACACTGACCACAGCTGCCACGGTCCTTCGCACATCGCGTGCGGCCGGCAGGGCCTTTTGTCGGTTGGAAAACCCCGTGTGTGGTAACGTTGGTGATAAGGTGGTACTATCCCGATATATTTGGCGTAAGGCCCGCCTAATTGGATGGGGAACCGTTAAGCGGGGCGTGTCGGTGAACTATTTGTAAAGAGTCATCGAATGCAAAAAGAGATGACTTCAAATCAACGCAATAAATGGTAGGAATAATAATTAATTGATCTGGATATAATAAGAAAAAGGTATTGGCTTTAACTTCGATGCATCGATAGGCAGACACTACTTATTCCTTCTTATTCTCTTCATTTAACCTTTATTCACATTAGGTTTCTGTTGTTGTGCATTTTTTATTGATTTCTTTTTTCAATTCTGCTGTTCTCCAGCGTACCATCGAGAAAGTGAGTTCATATTTCCTTGAGTGAGATGGGTTCACTCTTGCACGTTTGTGGGTGTACGACCGTCTTTACGCTATATTATTTACTGAGTATAATGTTGTTCTCTTCTTCGTCCACCTCAATTCTTTTGGGCTTCACTTAGTAATCAAACCAGAGCATTGACTCTGAGTCCCAAATCTTTCTCGGTGATGAAATCGGTCGTGTCAACAAACAGATGGTTAGAGTAAGTATTCGAAAATGGACTAGGTTACTTCTCGAAGCGTGTGCATTTAGAAATGTTTCAAAAAACGTATTTACATATATGTCATGAACAGAAAGATGTAAAATACGCTGCTACTTTATGGCTAAGGGAAGTCTAGTTTCGGTTTTGACATCGTATCTATGCCACCCCGTCCTATTCAAACACTTCTACTATCTCCTTTATTCCCCCCCTCCGCCTTCTTCTCCTCCTTTTAACCACCATTTACCCTTACAGTGTGAACGACACCAATTTCTCAAGTTTAAAAAGGAAGGGGATTGCAATCGTACACAACCGCATTTTCATTCTGACTACATCACAACATCCCTTACGTTTAGGTGAAGAGTACTGACATATTTTATTAACAAGGTCACAGAGGATTTTTAATATAGAGAGACAAAAATGGCGGAGAACGACATTGCGGACTTCACTTTGGATGAGAACGTCATCATTGATACA